CCCGCCTATTTCCATGTTTTTTGCGTTTTATATTAATTGGTCCGACTCTCCTGACTTTTCTTTCCCAGGGCGTCCTTCAGGTTTTTCTCCCGCCGGGCCTTGCCACCGCCGCTCGAAATTTCTTTACTGYCGCACTTAGGTTCTTAGGGCGGTGCCTGAGCCCGGTGGCTTCCCTATCGGGTATGRCCCTTTTGGCTTATTGGCATCCAGGTGCCTCATAACTTTTGGAGCGGGTGGTCTTCCTAGTTCCTTCCTGCCGCATCATTGGGTCGACCGGGACTCCAAGCACTGCCCCTCTTTTGCTGACGACCGCCTACTTATCTTAATACTCATCCTTTGTTTCCCTACCTCTTCCTGACGCGTTTTCTCATGCTGGTGCCTCAGGCCTGCCCTGCTCATCCGGTTCCTCGAACAGGTCAACCAACCCAACAAGGTAATTTTCCCCCATCTCTATTTCCCTGATAATTATTGGCTCATATTCTTCAAACGACAGGTGGGGCAATCCGAATATCAAGATCTCAAGTAATTCGAGTAGCTCCCAGGCCTGGTTTCCCCAGAACGGCCCATGTCTGACCGACACGTCGTAGAACATGCCCGTTGTTTGTGGTCAAAAGTGGTGGATCCAGACCAGGGTCGAGTCCACCAAATTCYTTGCCCTCTTGAGACTGCCGAATACCAGGTCTACCATAAGGCGAGGTACTCGACACCTCAGCCCGGTCATTGGGGCCTTAAACTCTCGCCAACCTCCTATCTCCATCCGAGTCCTTAACCCCACATTTCTTCTTCCTCGCACTTCCTATCCTACCSGGTTTAGTACTCTAGTAGCCCTCTGGAAGATTGACAACAACCCATGCCCTAGTGCCAACTCCGTCCCTAACATGTGCCACCCGAGCTCTGGCAGGTATACGGTCCCCGTTACCCTAAGATCGGTGTACAGATCGTTCCCCGGTCCCCTGCTAATTCTCATACCATCCCACAAACATTCCACCATCATGAACGCCAGACCTCTTCCCAGGGTCAGGGCTCTCCACTCGGTATCCAATCCTTGAATCATGTAGCTTGCTGGGAGCGACACCTCCCATCCATCTCCGTTTTTCGTGGGTGGCCGCGGGTGCATAGGTCGTCGCGGCATCCGGGCGCGTCTCATCGCCATTTTCGACTTAGAAGTCCCTTGCACAGTTTTAAACAGCACGCGAGTTCACTTATTCCACTTGGTCTTCAATTTTCCACATGAACAACTCCCCGATCCCTAGCCTTATGCTTCTTTTCCCATTCTATTTCTTTCCCCTGTCTTCGGCCCTATTACCGACCTGTTCCTTCCTTCATCTACTCATACAATCGGTACAGATCATCTACGTACACCATCCCTTGGTTTATTTCCTGCCGGATGACACCCCACAGGACCTCACTTCCCACGACCGGAACCCTTGGCCTGGTACTAAACACAGCACGCAGGATGCGCAGTACCTCGTACTTCTGCTCTCYGCTAAACGGCCCCATTTCTAAAAAGGCCCGGTAGTATTCTCGATGTACCGCCGCTTCTTCATATGTCAAGCTTGCGAGGTCGGCTACTGCTTGTCCAACAAGTTMCAGACCGCCCAGTTTTTCTAGCAGGAAGGGCGGCAACCTTATTCGTACATTTTCACTAGGCAATTCGAAACTCCCGACCATGGCTACCCTAAGGTCTGCCGTTACATCGTCAACCCCCGGATYTGCGAACTCAAATCCCGTTCGCCATACTAACTGCCATGCCCCCAYAAACATGCTCAACGGGTCTTCTCTAGATGCSAGCCGAACTCCAAACTACCTCCACCCGTTTTCTGACACATACAACCACCCCTCTRCCCACACGTGCCCCCGTGGGTCCGGGTTCCATTCCCCATTCTCAGTCGTAYGCCACTCAACTTTCGTCACCAAATAAACCATATTTTCCGCAAGCTCGATCCCGATCCAATCCGCCACCTGGTGCCATCCCTCGTCTGTTCTCGGCAGGCTAACCTCTATCCCACCCGGTACTTCCGTAGGCGGCTCAATGCCCAAGGGGCGCTCCTCAAGGAACGTCCTTCTTCATGCCAGTGCGCGCTCGCATTTGATCTTCCGGCTCGCGATCCGCGCTGAACCCTACAATGGCCAGACATCCCATTCCCTAATCTTAGCAGTTTTGTCGTATTTGTCTGGCTCCACAGCTTCCCTGCGCTTAGTCAAACCACATTACTTCGAACAGTTTGAACACATCATCCACATAGCAAGGTGTTGTTGCTACCTCTCGACGGATTATGGCCTCCCTGGTATTCGGGGCCACCTCCTGCCGGTCATTCCTTTCGATGTCCAAAATGACGAGGACCTTCCGGGCTCTATCGCCGTGGAAGGGTCCGTATTTCAAGGACTTCCTATAAAATTCCCCTGCCAGCCATGTGCAATTCACGTGTATTCGCTTCATCGTGTCGGTTACCTCTGTTACATGATAAAAAACCCCAAACCAGTCCGCCACGAACTCGGGTACCCAGGTCTTGATTCGGGCACCGGGCGGTTTATATTCCTTCCATCCTCTCATCACGACTCTACTGCTGACCGTATCCCATCCTTYGTTAGCAAAGCTTTCCCCCGCCTGCCGATCTCTTGCCTCAGCGTCCCCTAAAAGCCACATCGGGTTCTGTCCTGCCGCGAGCGTCGTGCAGAACAGGTGCCAACCCTGTTCCGAGAGAACGATTGTCCCAACTGATTCCACTCTTCCTTCCGCAATCTTTTCCCATCCTTCCTCTTCCCTCAACGGATTCGAGATACGCTTTACCCAAAGGTACGATAGTTTCGGCACAATCTCATACGCCCGCCAATCACATGTGGTCCCTTTCCATTCATTGCTCGACGGTATTGACATCTCTACTCCCCTTCTGGTTCGTCTTGGTTCCCATGTGCAGTCCCAAAATTCGAGTTCCTGACCGTCGTTCCCTACCTGCACATAGCCGAMAACCCGTTTTCCCCAGGTAAGCCCCCCCTTTCAGAAGTCTCCRTCCTCTATCTCGTCTCCGTCCTCCTCATCACTGAAATCCTCCTCCTCGTCTAGGAACATCTCTTTCACCCCTTCCAAGAAGGTTTCCCCCGCTGCCACGTTTCGGTAAACTATCTGCCAATGCACCGGGCTGGGAACAAAGGTTTCATCCGCGTTGAGGAGGTTTAACACCTCAGCTAATTCTTCCGTCCAGTTTCCTTCGAACGACCCCGCCTCCACCGATAGTTTAAAGAAGTCCTGCCTAGCACCTTGGTACAACCTCAGGCGCGTCATCGACCGACATATCCGCTYCAATCTACCTCTGGTCCCAAAGACTGCATCCACCAGGAATGGGGGTAGCACGCATCTCATTGTCCTAAGGGGCCGTCTCATATTTTTCCGGTCCCCGAGTTCCACTCGCACCTCCATCCTTTCCATCTCCATTTCTGCCTGCTGACATGCTACCCATACCACTTCCCGTTCCGCTTGCCTAAATAGCTGATCCGGTGTCGTGCCCAATACCAGTCCCACTACCATTGCGTTTTCCATTTCTTGAGATAGGTAGATCCATCCTCGAGCTTCCACTGTTCCCCGGAACTCTAGGTCCATCAAGCTAGGTGAGAGTCTTRTCAGGCTGACCTTAGTCCAGATTGTCTCTATCCAGAGGAACGCGTCCTTCTTGTCCAGCATCACGGTTTCATAGGCTGGTTCTAGGTCGGTCCAGGTCCCTTCTTCAGGGAGAACAACAGATACCCCATCCCTTACTTCTATAGGCATTTCCGGACCACTAGAGTAGACAGGAGGCGACAACCATCGCGCCATCTTGTTTCC